ATTAGTCAGTTATAGCTTATTCTCTCTCCTTTCGATCGATGCAAGCTTGAGCAAAAGAAGTCATTGTTGTAATGTAATTAAAGTAAATAATAATAATAAAAGTTATGATAAAAAAGGTAACTAAGTAATACAATATACTTCGGTGCTCCTAAAATTTTGTTTTCAACATTGGCTTACGTAACCGTCAAATACAACAAGGTAGAAGGTTCAACATTATCATAGATTACGTTTCAATAATATTCAACAAAATTCAATCTTTGACATATTATACCGGCAATGTCTATATACTTTGAGAACAAAAAAATACTAATCTCCTTATCTACCTAAGCAATAGCAATGATCCTACTAACACAATTGCGCGATTTTATTTACACGTATTTAAGTAATAATAATACAGCTTCAGAAAAATTATTAATTCTACAATATACTATCAATTTGAAAGCTTGAATATCAAATACAAGCACGTATGATTGTATCGAGCAAATAAACAAAAGAATTGGTAATCATCTATATATAAATTCAAATCAATACATAAAGAGCTCATGTTCGCATATTGAGAATAACTGAGGTATTCGATTAAATGTACGACGAAAACTACACACACATATACGAGATTCTGATGCTTTTTACAATTATTTTTTAACCAATAGACAATTTACATTTAAGGTTTCAAAAACATTGATATCACTTGATATCAATTTGATAATGATTTTAAAAAAGAAACCAATCTACATATTTTTCCTTATATTAAAAACTTTTATATGATTAAGCAAGAAAATATAAACAAATATTGTATTTTATTTTTCATATAAAGTAATTCCTTTCGAATGTGAAATGAATAACTTACAATTTTCTTCAGAATTACTCCAATACGCTAAAACATAATCGTTTATATAAATGAATATTGTGTTAGATATTTTCTCTTAATTATTTACTGCTTCACATTCCTTAAAAGCAACATACGCGAAGCAATTATAACTATCGATGTATTAAATAAGTTAATTTATTAAAAGAGGAAAAATCTTGGCATAGTAAATAAAAGAAAAAACGATAAATTTATTAGTTTTAATAGAAGTGACTAAGTAAGAATAAATAAGAATTAATAATGCTAAATGTTCAATTATGGAGTTTTATATAGTGGATTTATATATTTATATATTTATATTTATATAGTGGATGAAATTGTAATAGTAATAGGAATAATTATAATATTGTAATTTCTAATAAATCATTAGAGAAATAATTTATAATGTATTTGAAAATAGATAAAAATTTTGCAAGGTAAAATTTCTATTTTTCACATTTATTATAAAGTCTTTTTTTTTATATAAATAAAAAAGAGCATTTCGAGATTCATTCCACTTATTAATAGTACAAAATATAAACAACAAATCCAATTAACGATTAAACATTGAATATTGTATTTGATCACTACGTTTATTATTATTTGCTATTGAAATTACAAAAATAAGAACAGATAAGTGGGCGTAAATACTTTTAAATGAGTTTAAATATATTATGGCAGTATTAATAATAGGGGATATTTTCAAGGTTTCGTTTATAGATAGTAAAATAAAAAAAGAACAAAACCAAGAAAATCGAATTCAGTGGTTAGGATAATATAAACACATACGTGCTGCGCTCAGACTGATGTGTTTTGTGTGCGTAAGAGAGAGGGGGAGAGAGAGAAAGAGAGAGAGAGAGAGAGAGAGAGAGAGAGAGAGAGAGAGAGAGAGAGACGGATTAACAACTAGTGATTCCCAGCTGGTTTAGAGTAACTGATTAACATGCTTAACTATTCCTGTTGTCAAATAATATTATCACGAAATTTAATACAGCTTTTCACGAAAAATTATATATTTATTGTTTTTAAGCTAATGCTAAATTAAATACGATAAACTGAAGGTATAAACAAATTTATTTACAAACGAATAATTAAGCTGAATATTTACAGATGTTCTCAATTTTTTACTCTATATCAATCAAAAAAATTATATTATTGATTTGACAGACGGAATTAAAACTATTTAAATCACGTTACATGAAAATTATGTAGTAGTTAGTAATGTGTTTCTAAGAATAGTAATATACTTTAGGAAAAGAATATATTACAAATTCTATAATTACGAAAATTGAAAATAGCATAAAATGAAGATATCAACCATTTTATTTCCGATTTATTTGAACGGTTCTTTATTTTTAATCAATAAATTGAATATACAACTTTGAGAACACTTGTGTAAAACATCATACAAAATAATTTTCAAAATATAATATTTAAATGCTTATAAAAAGGATAGAAGTTTAATATTACGGAGATTAAAAGACAATTTCTTATTGATATATGGAATAGATTCATACGTAATTTAGATATAATATTCTAATATAATTGTAATGTAATAACATATTAGCCGATACCGGAAAAATGAGCGATATTACATTATCCCACCATCTCAAATATGAATCTCTAAATTAAATATCATATCTAAATATATAATATATGAATTAATTATTCGATAATGATTGTTATTATTGAAGACGAGAAATATGAATAATAATAATAATAATAATAATAATAATAATAATAATAAGTCAATCGTATTGAATTAGCTATATATATATGTATGTATGTATGTATGCCAAAGCGTAAAAGTATAGGCACAAATTTGCATGGTGGGCCTTTCGAGGCAACAGTCTCGTGACGTCGTCATATTTGCTGCAATGGCTTTGTAAAAAAAAACCCGCAAACGCTAAAAATTGATATCAAAGATAGAACGAAAAACATATTTAAAATTGCAATACGAACGTCAAATAGTTAAATCGAAGTTTAATGCACGCGATAGAGACGTAATGTTCTTATGCTCGCTTCAAAAATATAGATCGCATTAATTTTCCAACATTCTCCTGACATTTCTTTACTTTTGCACTTATCAAAAAAAAAAAAAAAAAAAAAAAAAAAAAAAAAAAATCATCAACCAATCTAAAATATATAAATTTCGTAGCACAATAATTATAAAATCACTAAATTCAAATAGTTGCTTCATAATGTACTGGTAGATTTTTCGAGGAAAGATGGGACAGTAAAGTTTTTAGATTTTCAGAAAATAAAATATCGTGTCTGATCAATATTTGATAACTTTTATGCTCGCATTTTTATAATCAATAAAACGATAGAAAAATAGAAAAATTAGAAATATTACAAATATCTTGTCAGATATTTGCTCTTTGTAAGTTAAAACGAATAATCCGAAAGTCAATAAAGTCTGACTACATATGAAGTTTCAAATATAGAATAAAACATAAACACAGTAACGACGACTATTTATAAAATGTTTTGTTCATTAAAGATTATTCTTCTATTTCCACACAACTATAGCCCTTTTTTTTTTTTGCATCATATATAACTTCTATACCTGTGATGAATAAAATAAATTATTTTGAAGTTTGAAAAGCAAGTCGATGAACTCAAATAAAACTCAATATATATTAATAAAATCTTAAAACTTTTATATATTTTAAAAAAAAGTATTTGCTACGCATCTCATTATTTCTTATACAAATTACAACATTTTTGTTCTCCCCCCCCTCTCACTCTCTCTCTCTCTCTCTTTCTCTCTCTCTCTCCCTCTATCTCTGATGAATCGTGGAGAGCAAACATTCATCAAAATCAATTTATATTAGAGCAAAGAACCCACTGCTAAAATTAAAACAATAAAATATGTACTTGTATGGACGAGGGGTTGACAATGTGATTCATTCATATTTTCACCGTCGGTAAATTTCTCAGAATGATCGCTGTTATACTTTTTGTCATTGTCTAATAACGGCCTATTGTTATTAGTATTAAAAATAAAACGTTGCTCAATAATTCTTATTTTTCTCTGATTAACCAATATGAATATCAATATAGTTGTAAGGATTTAAATTAAACCTTAACCGATAATGATCTATTTTTTTTTTATACGTTCAGTATACACATGATAGGGTAAACAATTTTTTTTAATATAACGTGTACTATATGTGTAATGTATCCGAGAATAGATATTTATAATGATCAGTTACTCAAAAAACAAACAAAAACGAAACAAAAATATATTAAAAAAAAAAAAAAAAAAAAAAAAAAAAAAAACAATTGATAAAGCGTTACGATCCATTTTCACAAACGTTGCAACGAATTCAATTTATGGAAACATAAAAATTCGCGCTCGAACCCAGGGGAACGAAGGAAAAAGCTACCGGCACAAAGAGAAAGCAATGTCTAAATAACACACAAAACATAACACTTGTATGATGCGAAACTACTAACAATTTTTATGTAACCTCCGCGTATTAACATCACTGTAATGTTAAATGCAAGCAAGCATACTCTAAAAACGGAGATAAAACTCGTTGGGTTTTCAAATCGTTTACATTACTTTTCGTACACACAACACCAATTTCAAGCGCGCGTTCGCCACGCACACTCATATAAGCCATCGCAAGCGGACACGCTCTTACATGGAAAAGCAATGTACATGTAGTGCGGAGTATTTAAGCATTTCCTAATAAAGGCATTGAATTGTAAATTGACAAGCCGTGAGAGGCTTACGGAGAGCCATCGGTTTGTCGTAGGAGTATAAAAGGTCTAGTTTCCATAAAAACGGCGGGGCTTTTTGTGGGACGGGTGAGGGGCGAGGGAGGGTGGTCTAGGAGAGAAAAAAAGGGAGCAAAATGTAAAAGAAAAAATGACGGCGAAGGAAAGTTATGCGAACGACTGAGCGAGCAATGCGCGTATCGGCTTAACTCTTCGGGGACTTAAAATGCGAGAGAGAGAGAGAGAGAGAGAGAGAATGAGAGAGAAGGAAAATTAATTGTAAGCCAAATTGGCTTCGGGTGAATTCGAGAGTCGTTGGGTTTTGTTGTTTTTTAGTGGCCGCTTTAATGTTTACACCTCCGAGCGCGGAATAAAGGAGCGAGTCGAGAGACAATGTAGATCGTAAATAAAAGCGATGAGTAAGTACCATGTCAGCTCCCAGGTCTTTCATGTCGCAATAGAGAAAAAGGTCCCCTGGCGGCTTCATCCAGCCGCCTGTGTAACTCTCCACCGTCTCCAATGCTCTTTCCAGCCGCGTCACCTCCTCGAAATTCACCCTCGGACCGCCCTGGGCCGTCACGACTGTAATCAGTCGCGACGACACCACGATTCACAGGATAAATCCTCCTTGACTTTCCTCCGGCGTTCCTCTCCGCCCAGACCACAATCTCGTAACAACAATCACTGTAATCGAGCCGCGGGGAGATTCCTCCTCCTCCACCCACAAGCAGCTCGTTTCTCTTTACCGCGGCGGCTCCTTCACAACACTCTCCAAGCACTGTGGCACTCCCGAGGACGATCCTCCGCCTCACACTCCTCTCCAGCGCCTCGGCGATAGGCGGCAAAACATGCGAGAACGGCTGCGGCGTCGAGAAGATACACACACTCTCCGGTCGCGGAAAAATCGTTATCGCGAGCGACAGACAGAGACAGGGATTGAGAAACAGGCGCAGAGAGAGAGAGAGAGAGAGAGAGCGAGCGAGAGAGACAAACAAAGAGAGAGAGAGAGAGAGAGAGAGAGAGGGAGGCGGAGGCAGATGGAGAGAGAGTGAGAGAGAGAGAGAGAGAGACGAAGAGAGCGCGAGAGCTGGAGAAAAAAAACAACAGGGAGAAAGACGAAGAGCACAAGGGCACCCTAGTCGTAGCAGTCGGCCCTGGTTCTCCGCACTGCCCACTCCCGGTTGCCTCGGCGCGCGTACGTTGTTTCCTTCTCGGCTCTTCTCGCTCCAGTCGACGATCCGTCCTATCTCTTTCCTCTCCGCGCGCTTCCACACGCTTTTCGCCTTATTCGTGTGCCGCCGCCGTCGCCGCCGCCGCCGTCGTCGTCACCGCTGCTGCTACTGCTGCCACCGCGACACTCCTGTCTTTCTCTTCGTCGACCCCTTCCTTCTCAAAGCTCGCGCGACATGCGCGAAAAACTCTGGATCCTCGGATCAGCGACTCCTCCACGTATGTCACACAGGGCTCCTGCGTTGTCTGTCGTAAGAATGCGCGCGCGCGCGCACGCGTCCGATTCTTCGAGGTTATTTCAGAGTCTTAACCTCTGCGTCGCGTACTCGTCGTGTCCTGACCGGCGGACTCTCTCACTCTTCTCTCTGCGACGTCGATGTCGTCCGCGATGTGTACATCCGTGAAGAGATGGTGCGCGGTGAGAGCCGCGGAGGATGTGACAATAGGAGGAACGGCAGGGCGAAGAGTAGGGCGCCCTTCGGTCGCACTCACGCACGCACGCACACGCACACACACGCACACTAAAGCGCGCGCGCGCGCGCGCACCAACAACCCAACCCGACACCTCCGTCCTTCGCCTCCTCTTACTCGCCTTCACCGTTTGACGACGGTGACGGCGACGACGACAACACGGCGGCGGCGATAACACAGCAACGGTTGCACGCACGCACGCACGCACGCACGCACATACACGCGCACACGGGCTAACCGCTAAACGTTCTCGCACCTTCCTCTCTCTTTTCTTGCTCGTCTACCGTCTCCTGGGGGACGCCCTTGTCGATGCTTCAATGGCGCCCCGTGCAACTGCTCACTACCTCGTAACTTCTGTGATTGCTCTTGGACATTCTCGACAAGGGCACGTACACCTCTCGTTCCACTTTCAATCTCACTTTCGCGATCTCATCGGCGGCGACACTCGACTAATCGCCCCCGTGTCTCACTCGTCCCTTTACGGCTGCAAAGTGACGATGTCGGTGCGATGGTTACTGCGGAGGTGGAGGGGTGGTGGTGGTGGTGGTGGTGGTGGCGGTGGCGGTGGCGATGACGGCGGCGGCGGCGGCGGTGGCAGCGGCGGTGGCGGTGGCGGCGACGGTGACGGTGATGGTAGTGGCAGTGGCGACGACGGCGACAGCGGCTACGGCGGTGGCTGCTGCTGTTGTTGCTTCAACGGTGCTATTGCCAATGTTGTTACTGCTGCGTTGTGAGAAAGGCGATGAAACCTCGTTTCCAAAGATGCGAGAAAATACAACGGACCCAAGGAAAGAGACGTTGATCGGCTTCGCGCGCGTATTTATGTGCGTGGGCTCGCGATTGTATGCGCACGCTCTCGCGTACCACTCTGTTGTGCGTGCGGGCGTGCGTGCACGCCTATATATATATATATATATATACAAAGTTGACGAGTGTCACTGGGCCGAGCTCTCCAAGAGCTGCGCGCACCGTCTTTCGACCTTGGCTTCGCTCTCGCGGAGGGTGTGCGTGCACGTTATGAGTCGAGCCCTCACCGTCTCAAGACGGACAGACACGCACGGTCGGCAATAATATCGTTAGCCGGCCCCGGCCTCTGCTGCTCTCGGCTCTGTCTGCAAACCGCGATGGAGACTGGCTCTCACGCCGAAACAAAGAACGACGCCCGACGGTGGCGCCCCACCGCGCCGCTTTTCCTATCTCGCTCGCTCACCCGGAGGACCGAAGGGGACGGGAGTCCGGAGCGCCGAGCCCGTGGACGGCCGATTATTGTAGCTGCCGCCGCGGCAACAACGTGTGCCCGCGCGCAGTGTATGTTTTATTCGCGAGGAGGCCACCTAGTTTTACCTTTGGATGCTGAACAACTAGTCGGCGACGTGCGGCCCGTGATTGCGCCGAGTGACGGCCGGTTTTTCGATTGGGCCGTGTCTCACCTTTTCTATCATACGCTCCGTCCACTCGTCGCTCCGATTTTTCTCGGCTTTTGAGCCATTTCGTCTAGCATCTTAATTTGGCTATGTGGATTTGGGCCGCCCACGCTTTATCAGACTTACTCTTGTAAATATACAATTATACGGGCTGTCTTGGGAACCAATTGGTATTAATTTTTTTTTCTTTTTTTTTTACCTAGTTGCAAGTAAAAGACTTGTTGGGATATACAGTGACAATGAATAATCATTCCCTACGATCCCTTCACTCAATTTATTCATATCACTGGATAAATTGATCTAGTCGCGTCTAAAATTATAATGTGCATGCCAATGTAATAGTTGGTCGAACAATGCTAATTATATTTGGTTTCCTAAAATTACGAGCCTATTGTCAATTATCCGTAATATAGTATGTAATGAATGACGAGAAATGACTTAAATATATTGAGAAAAATTAATTCCATTAAATCTTGTAACTGCTTAGGATATGTGCAAGCTGAGGTGAAGAATTTCCAATATATTTGGTGCTGATAGATTTTCTTAACTAATTTTATTAATTAACGCAGGAGGCTGCAAAGTGCCAAACTTTACATCCTTTTAATATCGTCATATAAAAAATAATCACTGTAAATGTGCATGTCGTAGCAAAAATTTAATATCAAATTCATTGCTGTTGAAAGACAAATTTTTGTATTTATATTTTCACCGAGACCAGCAACTATATTTTGAAACAACTTAAGTTAAAATGAGATTGATAAGCACAATGTCTACTAATATTTTTTACAGACACTTTTGATATAACGTGCTTGGTTATATTATAAGGATTGTACGATAATTAATGAAAATTTTATTTGACAGTGTAATAACTCTATTATGTGTATCTTCGATATCATGAACTTACATTTCAAAGAATTTCTACTGCTTTGAATAAAGTTCATTTTAATTTTATTCCAAGCATTTTTAAATATTTAGTGTTTGATTGGAAAGAACAGAATTAAAAAAACAAAAAACAAAAAAAAAACAAAAAAAAAAACTTATGACTATATTCTATATTTAGAAATAGGATTGTTATTTTAATTAATAATCTTATATGAAAAATAAAATTATTTTTATACAATTATGTTGATAAAAGTATTCTATATTTTCAATCTTAAGATCTACATTATTATTCATGGCATAAAATGATGTGCAGAATTTAAAATTCGTATTATCAAAAATTTTGCTAGAAGAACAATAAATGTTACTACACCATGTAGTAATTAATATACTTTCATACATCAATTATCAAAAAATAAATATTGGTCTGAAAACAATGTTTAATCCGCCTTCTTAAGTTTCTATTAATGTGTCATTGGCATGTATTATTAAGTAAAAATGTATTCAAAGTATATTTATAGAGTCCAGACTATTAATTTATATAAAGTAAATTTTGGTGTCTTATAGCTTCCTAAATGATTTCTTTTTAATTATTTCTTTCAGCATATCTTTCGTTGTTCAAACAAATAATCTTTTAAGAATTATACAAAACTTACAGAAAAAATAAAAATAATAATAAGTATTATAGTTAAATGTATTTTGTATCCTATTTATAGACTGTAAATTACACTTCGTTAAATGTAATCTTATTGTACAAATTTATTAATTAGTTACTAGTCATTCGTTAGTTGTACTCCATTTTGTTGACATTCTAATATTTATACATCAAAGAAGGAGATCGTATTTACGATTTTATGAAAATATGTATTTGAAAATATTACATGCAGTACGAATGGTGTGAAAGCCAACCAAAATGGGGCATTGCAATTAATAATTGTTATTTGAATGAAAAATTTAGAAGTCGCATTTATAAAATATAATATATTACATCACCAAAATAGATAATTTAATACATTTACTTCATCAGAATTTGATTCCATTTTTTATTAATCTCATAAATTAATATTAATATTGATATGTTCGTCTTATCGAATTTTATAATAATAACAAGAATTTCAGCCAATATTGGTTATTATTATTTAATTATTGCCTAGTCTGATTGAAATTGTTATCGATTGTAAATGTGTCGATACAAAATTGGGATAAAATTTTTACTAACCTGTCCATTTCTAAATTGCTGCTGCTGTTGTTGCTGTTGTTGCTGTTGCTGCTGTTGATGATGAAACAATGCTACTTGCTGCTGCGCTGTCATTTGGTTATTTAAGTAAACTAAATGCTCTGTTCCCGGGGTGGCGCTCTGAAATATTAAATTTATTATCAGTGCTCTTTGATATTGCAACCACTTACTTTAACGCTCAATGGTAATTACTTTTAATTGCATGGGATGAATTTCATATGGCATATGTACATTATTCATTGCTTGAAGGCCAAGTTGTTGAGGTTGACTCTGTTGTGGTACTCCGAGTTTATTCATAGGATACTTCCACTTTTCTTGATTCTAAAATATTTACGTTTCACATAATTATAATAGGATTCAATTTCATATGACTATGCGATATAATCGAACATGTCCATTAAAATGAAAGATATTTTGTAATGCACTTACGTTATCAATGATTCCATCATCCGCTAAAGCCCAAGCCCGCGGGGTTTGTTTTGTTTGGAAAGCAGATGTCTGAACGCCAAAATCTTGATCCGTTGGACGTTGAAATACATAACCAACCATGGGTTCATCTTGAACTCGATTTACACCAATTGGATGTGTCTGTCCAGGTGGTAAACGTACGGCGTCCCCTCCGGCCATAACCTGACCACAAGTTTCGGTGTCCTAAAAAAAGAATGTTTATTAACTTCAACTATAAGAATTATGGTTAAGTCTACATATAACACTTCACAAAGCACTTCCATAATCATAATGCTCTTTACTCATAGAGAGGCTTTAATCATAATAAGAAATTTCCATCCGTTTAATGTGATTTAAGAAGAAGAACGATTGTATATGCCAGTGGTCAATAAAGTTGCACATTATTCAGTAATATTAGAGCAAACCGAGCATCGCTAAACTCATACAATCGATAATCTCATAAAGAATTTGGGCCAGAACGTTGATACGTTATCCCTCGCAGCTACGAGTCTCTCTACATTAAGAGAATGAAATTTTAAGAGCACCAAACAACCACGGTACAGGACAAATGGCTTTTGACAGTTTTCAGCTACATCCCCTAGCCAATATTCAAATTTGCTCGATCCAGCATTCAAGGCGATCCGCTGGGCTGAAGCCCAACAACCAAAGTCTCTAAGAGCGCAAGGGATCGCTCGCATAAATTTGAGACTTGGAGGCGCTTGGTACGGAAGCTCGACTCACCGTAGCTAAATGTCCATTAGCCGATGGATGGTGGAGTTGCATGGGGGGTGCCGGCTCGCCTCCAGCTCCGGCACTACTCGCGCCTAACCACTTCATCCTGTCTGCTCGACCCGGGCTGATGCTCCGGGCTACGACGGGCCAGGGCGAAATATCAGCGGTGATGGCTACGATCGGTGCGACGAACTAACTCACGGGCGATACTCGTTGAATGCACCTCGAGGAGCCGACTCGCTTATTACCCGTGTCGCGGCTCCGTGCTCCAGGCTGCAGGGATAACGTGCGCGCCGGATCTAGAGGGACACGTAGAGTCCGCTTCACGCTTAGGTTATCTCTCCTCGGGGGAAGAGAGAAACCGGCTGCGAATCGTTGATCTAATGCACGCACACTCGCGCACAAACACACGGGCCGCCCTGCACTCTCTACTCTCGTCGCAAGTCACAGCACTCGCAGCTTGCTTAGTTCACCACTGTAACTGCTCGACTACGCATGACGCGTTTTCACTTGCCCTCTCTCTCTCTCTCTCTCTCTCTCTCTCTCTCACTCTCTCTCGACTCTTAACACGGACAGGCGCGCGCGCGCGCCCGCGCACGCACACTCGCTCCCTCGGTCCTCACTCGCTCCTCTGCACTCTTTAAAGGTTACCGCCGCTTATATTAGAGCTGGCTCTCTCATTCTCAGGACTTCGGTCGTCTCTTCGTCGACGACGGCCGACGCTGCGTACGCGTGCACAGTATACACTTATTCACCCGGGTCATACACGAATGGGCGGGCACGTTGCGAGAGTGGAGGAGCCGCGAAAGACGGCGAAATGCCGACCAACCTCGGCGATAGATATACTCAAGATAATCCGAAAAATGCGGGTCTCTGGCTTCGTTTCACCTGATATCGCTCGTAGGTTAAGAGTTAAGCCGAGCTAAAGAGGCGGCGAGATCGGAAAAATACGGAGATCGTGGTTCGGGGCTGAGAGGAGAGGCACGTAATACGTATTCAATGGCAGGCCGAAAATTGTTTAACGGTTTTGTTTGGCCTTTGGCGGAGATGTATGACACGGTCTTTAGAAAGCCGAGGGACGTACTCGAAGGCCAAGTGATGGGTTATCGGTTAAATTTAAAGAGCCGTCGCGATGCTTTTGGTAATATGGAAAATTAACGTGATGATTGCGAGTGATTTGAAGACGCGTGCGCGCGGAACAAAAGTAGGGTTAGATTCGTAACAGACTTGTCCCGTCATTAACGTTATTTTGTTTTTCGCTAGCGCGTGTTTTTACTTTTTTTCTTCTCTCTTTCTCGCACTCTCTCTCTCTCTCTCTCTCTCTCTCTCTAAGTCTTTTCGTTTAAGGAGCGCTACGCGCATACATATGCATCTGTTAACCCTTAATCGCGACGTAGGCACGCAGACTGAGCCGCACTTGATTTTATTATCGCTCTTTGGTGTAAAAAAATGTTGCGTTTAGGCTGAAATAATGCACCGACGAGACACGCACTCGACTTCTTTCGCTTCGCTTTTGCACGCTCATAAACACATTTTCTTACTCCAATACCCGCACGGGGGGCAGAGCTGCTTCCAAGTGATCCGCAATGTTTTTTTTTTTTATCTCCATTACTCTATTTATGACTCACACACATACTCTCTTTCTCTTGAGCACTAAGATTTTATTTTCCTTCCAAATTAATTTGGGGCATCGATGCTTTTTTCATCTCTTACAGGGGATATTTGATTCGTTACATAGGCTTCATTTTATCGTCGACAATAATAATAATAATTATAATAATAATAATAATAATAATAATCGCGATACATACCTGTTTTCGTGGTTGGGTTATGGGGGTTAAAGTTTGAAAAAAGTATATTATTTTGATGGTTAGAGGGGTCGTTTGAAAAATTATTAAAAACTTTATTTATCAAATAATAAGACGTACACGTGATTGAGTTAGCCTATCCATGTCCTATACTTTAAACAGTTTTTAAAGATACATAGAATAAAAAGCATAATGACATTAAGCTATAAAAATGATGAAACTTAAAAGTTCCATTAGCTGACGGGGAGAGGTCTGTAGTGCTCGGTTATACTTATATTTATTGACTAATAAAATGATTTGGCTGGCTGAAATGAAAAAGAAATATATTAAGTATATGCTCAAAATTGCGATAAATCAGAGGTAAAAAAAAAAAAAAATTTTCGTTTATGTACATAATAAATATTTTTGTTAATATCGCCGATTCATGTAAGAGTTATTGGAATCTATAAAATGATAATGGCCTCTGTCAAAATAATGTCCGAACAAGTTGACAATCGACGATTATGAATTTTACGAGCATTTACAATAATGCCTATTGTCTGTATCTTTTGTTCTGCATCAAATATCGCCAGCATCACTCTCAACTAAAATAATAATAACAATTGAGATAAAAAAAAATTTAAATGCGGAATTTAAAAATCGAATATTTTACGCTTTCTGTGCATCGAGACACTATTATTATTCAGTCTTAATACTTTAGTATAGCTGAAGCGTAAGTATAAATTAATCATTATACAACACATTTTATGCAATTAAAATAAAGTTAACAACAAAATATTTTAATTCCCGTTATATAATTTATTACTGAAAATATTATTAAAGAATAGCAATAAGTACAATAGTTTTATTTGACTGTAAACTAATAGCTTTTAGTGGCATTAATAAGTAAATTATTAATGTGAAAATTTTTTTTTTTTTTTTTTTTTTTTTTCCAGGGAATATGATTTCGAAGAATAAATGATAAAGTCCGTTTTCATCCCGTTACACAAGATTATATTTCATAATAATTCTCATACTCTGTCGTTCCCTTACTTTTTCTTTTCATTTACAGAACTGCACGAATCAATTATGTCATTGCAAATAGCTCTTAAGGTTCATAGACAAGCAGAGCTCCGATTCCGGTGAATTCTGAAAATTGAGTACATCGAATCGGGATAAGAGACGTGCGATAAATGGAAAAGAATATCTTCCCTCTAAACGTTCACTTTTTTCAAAAATTCAACAAACAGCACTCGCAATCTTTTGATCCTTACATTGTTTACACTAATCGTTCGCTCGTTTTGTTGCTAGTTTCGCTACGAGAAATTTTTGTTCAAAATACTTTCGTGTAGTGAAAAAATTACAATTCAAAAAGAAAACAAATTTAAAAAAAAAAAAAAAAAAAAAAAAATTAAATAAAAATAAATAAATAAAATAATTTGATGTTCGACAGGGTGGCGGATCATAACGGGGGTGTTTGCCATTTAATCGTAGTACGAGCAGTTTCAAACTTCAATGATGATTTCTGCAACGAAACTAGCCATGATTCTTGTAGAATAAAAAAGGATCTATAAAAAAAAACTATGTTGGACGGAAACGTCGCGGTCCGTCCAGATACTTTGCATTGCCGACTATCGGCATACTGTTAAAAACAATTGTAGGACATATCGGCTTCTTTTCTTTTTCGTTGTTAAATAAAATAACGAGTTATGCGTTGATGGCGCAATTATGTAACGTCGATTAGAAAATATACAAACTCTCACTATAATGAAAAATGTTTTAATAAGCGCTCTCTTTCAAATTTTAATTTATTAAAAGGAAAAAAAAAAGAAAAAAAAAGAAGAAAAAAAGATGAGAAAAATACAGAACTACAGGCACACACATGCATACGATATATGCATATGTATTTTGTATATGCGCATATTCTTGTATAATTCTACTTTTCGCTGACAACGTATAATTCTTAGAAGTATAATTTCTGTGCAAACAACGACACCGGTTTTGGTAAAATAGAATTTTTTTTTATTCAATGCTCAAATATATCTGATATTCCGTTTTGAACATTTTTAAAAATTAATAACCATAATTTAACAAATTTTATCAATACTATTTACCTGCACACATTTAATATATAAAAATGGTAAGTCTCGTTCATTTGCACAAAGTTCTACTTTATGATTATATAGATGTATACTTTGCTGGAAGCTTGATCTACATTTTTGAATGAGAACTTTTTTTTCAATAGGCATTATTTAATTTTTTTTTTATTATTTTGAACACATGAATCGTTACTTAAAGAACTTTATCGAAGCAGCAATGAATGATCAAAAATGAAGATCGTTTCTTCAAGTGAATAGATATTATAAGTAACTACATAAACTAACATTCTCTCATTTAATGATTTAATAATAATCATTAATATTTAATATTTAATAATAATAATAATAATAATAATAATAATAATAATAATAATAATATTCATAGCAATAGTAAGTTTGAGAATTAAAAATAACTAATTATTTGATACAGTTCATGTTAGACGTACTGAATTAACAGTCGTATCTTTCTTGTCCATTGGTACCGTTACGTCCTTACAATTATACATACGTAGGTATACAAAGTATTTACAATTGCAGAAAATTGTGATCTTTATAATATAGGCACTATGGCTTTGGACGTACACTAAATTGTACATTAGAGTACATCCTCAAGGGGTTTCTAAAGAAAATGCTCGAAAATAATTTTAAGAGTATGATCCAAGTACATAAATATTAGATAAGAATACATATAATAAATGTTAAGGCAAAAAATTTACATCAAAATTAAAAAATTTTTTTTTCATAAAAGAATAGTTAGCAATATTAATTTAATGTAACATTAAATTACTTTGATTATAATTATTAAAACACATTAAAACGGCCGTTTTCGTTACATGCTATTAAAGTTTTCGTGTAAGTTGCTAGTAAGATTTAATGGAATAATAATTTCCTTATGGAAACCCCTTAATCAGGTTCAGAATGAGATTGTGTACTGAATAATTCTTAGACAATCGCTACAATATTGAATATGCGTTTATACTTGACGATATACTTCCAAGGGCCTTTGTTTCTTACACTTCATTTTCAGTTTCGACACTTAAATTTCCCACCCCATCCACCCCTCCCCCAACATATGATAAGTTTCGAACATTAATGTTGGACAATAGTCAGTCAATGTAATTAAGGTACTTTTATGTATTATTATGAGCTCTCTCTCTCTCTCTCTCTCTCTCTCTCTGTCTAAATGTGTGTTTGTGTGTGTTAAACAAGGTACATGGGTACAAAACGAACCACGAAAAATAATTATACAAAAATCTAATAAAGGCTAATTCAATACGATTGACTTATTATTATTATTATTTTTTTTTCTTTTATTTAACCAATCATTTATCCATGCGCGCATACAAACACTATCATTCGTAACGTACACACATACATACACACGTGCATGCACGCATACGCATTCGCTTACATGCGTACACAGTTAGAAAAGGAAACTAGAGACCATTAATAATTCAGAGCATATATATTTTTTTTTTTTATACGATTCTGCTGGCTTAGTTTTGCATTACAAAGTCTTAGATCCAATGAGTCCATACTACAAACTTAGGCGCTTACATTTAACGAAATAATATATTACAAATTCAGATCTAAGATGCTTTGCAAACTGTTGATCAATGCAAAAAGGTATAGTATACAATCTAGAACAATATATTCTAAGAGTCTCGCTTCCTGCATTCCTTCATGCTGGTACTGTTTCGGACACACGAGCAACTTTCAAACGCACTATTATACACAAATCTAAATTGCACGAAAATAGCCCTTGGCGTCGTTCGCTGCATTACGAAGGCTTGCAATTAGTCCCACAATTAATTAATAACTTAATTCCCGTTAACGGCGAACTAAATCCATCGAAAAACTTGTACATTGTACTACCAACGTGTGTGATATGTGTACTTTGACGTTTACTATTTTTTTCTGCTTTTTCATTAATTTTTCTTTGTCTTTTAAATGTAACTTGAGAAAAATTAGTTTATCAGAATCTTGAGTGCCTTCTGTGATGTCCATAGAAACTGAGAAGAAACAGATTAACGACAATGACTGTGTTGAGTCTTGGACAGGTACCACTAAGTACAAAGTTATGTTCCATGGTAAGTAAAATGTACTCCCTTGGATACGAACCAAACTTTAAATAAAAATTTGGTGCAAATATTGTCTTAGCAATACCAATAAGTTAAAATCGTAAATCAAAGAGATCTGAGAGACCTTCTTCTGTGCCCAGTGAAAATGAATAGTCGCTTTCTGAAAGAGGTGGCTCCAATGAAAGCAGAGACTCTCCAAAGTCGAGAATACTCAAGTCTGAAACACATAAATAATAAAATAATGTAAAATCTTCCTTATTTGTGAATTAATGAATATGTACTTTCATTTCAAATCAATTGGCAATTTCTTTTATCTTACTAATCGAAAGATTTATCGAGGATTGTTACATTGATTTAACGTACTTTTTTCTATAATATATTATACCTTATTATTAATTTGTTGTTATACAAATCGTGTTATGTTGCTATGAACCATTACCTAACTAGAACTCTGCCTGTGATGTGATTAATAATGACTACACAAGTCACAGTCAGAGCTCCGTCAGGGAGTGGTTAATTTGGGTCCATATAACGTCTCTATCGATGTTTTAAAGAGAATGACCGACCGTGGAATTGCTCATATTGTCGCATGATTTATGATGATTTATCATGTAATTTTATATGCACAAAGATAGTGGATGTATAGTTTTTTTTATATTCGCAATACGTCTTCAATTCCAAAGAATCATTATAAAATGAAAAATTCAATGTATCTTTTTCTCAAGAGTATAGTTAAAACAATACAATGTGCTTAGTTAAAACTGTTATAATGAAACTGCTCGACACTCCAGCACTTGTAAAACAAAACGGCGAATAAAGGTTGGAGTAGAATATTACCTGCAGGCAAATGTTGATCTTCGGTTTGCAATTGAAGTCTGCCACCACCCATGAGACCGAAATCATCCGATTCGCAAAGAAGTGCGTCTCTCATTCCCGCTGAGGAAAGTGCAGAGAGCAAGGTCTGCCCGGATGATAAACAATCTTCTGTCGTAGGTACTGGCTCTACCTTCACATCACCGGAATTGTGTATTAAGAATTCAGACGGTATTGATGATGTTGTCGAGGGCTTTGACACAGGAGATTGCGGCGTCGTTGTCGTATTCGTATTCATCGTTGTTGTATAACCCGAAGGTAAAGGCGCCTTTGTTCCTGGATCGTCCGGACACAAGAACACTTCTATTTCACCATGTGTTGACCTCATATGTATTTGAAGCTAAACAAATTATTAAACGATTAGAAAAGTAAGAAACCATGATTACCATGAGACCAGTTAATTGATAATTCACATTCTGGAATAGATTTCTAATAATTCAAGCATATAAATCATGTTTCAAACGATATGTTTGAAATCTTGATACCTACTTCAATGAGCACAATTAATCCATAACAACGATAATTATTATTAAAAAATAATTATTAAAAAAAAAAAAAAAAAACAACAACAACAACAACAACAACGAGGTATATTAATTTAGAAGATGTACCCATTAGTTAAACCAAATCTATTATTAAATATATATTAAATAATATTATGGATTAATGGCCGAATGTAATTGCTTATAGTGAATTTAACATTGAGAAAACATTTACAGACCTTGGGTTGGCCGAAATTATTAATCGGTTGAGGAACGTGTAGAGTGGCTTCTGGTGGCGCTTTTACAGCCATTATGGACTGATCTTTGTACGATGCCACTGAGCGTAAGTCATGATACGTTACGTAGGCGTACGTTCTATCATTTGTGAATTCGTTAAGCTCTTTTTGCGCTCCGTGAATCAGTCTGTCTAAAGCATTTTCCTTCGCCTCCAAATCTGACACTTCTCTTCGTAAATCGAGAATATCACTTTGATTGCTAGGAAGGCAACCGCCCCTATTTCCAAAGTAAATGAAAAGTATGAATGTTTGAAAAATGGGCCATCACGGCAGCGATCAGAGTAAACAAACAGAATTTAACTTACTTCCACTGGATATTATTTTTACTTTTTTTCTCGAGTATACCGATTCCTTCCAAGACGTTCGTTATATCGTATATGCGACGTTTTTGAACTTCCAACCTTTCCGAAGCAACATTTAAGTCTACTACGCCATCGTTACTGTCCTCTACTAGATTTATAAATTTTTTGGTAAGTAAACTCAACGACGTATCATATCGCGTCCTTTCTAATGATTTACCTAAAATTAATAAATTTGTTGTTTATTAGATCAGCAATGCAAAATTATTCTATTAAATATAAAATACTAGATTATTATCTACTAATAGAGAAATCATGTTACAATTAAATTTAAGCTTCATTTATTTATTATTCACTTTTTCTATTTATATCACTTCATTTAATTTATTGCTCACTTTTTGTAGAATTGTGTCCTGTTAGTGAATTTGAACCCGATCTTCTACGTTTTCCTTTTGGAGTTTTAAAGGTGGATTGACTCGGTCCTACTTCCAAGTTCAGTCTTCTTTTAACTGCCTGAACCGATATCTACGAAGAATGGACAAAAAAAGAGAAAAAAGTAATAAAAATTTAAAAACAATATACAGTATACATTATTTACTTCGATGAAATAATCAATTATTGACGCTAATGTTCAAACTATTAAAAGAATAAAATATAAACTAATAAAAATACAACAGCGAATGAATTTTGTTACGAAGTAGTCGAATAGTTTGAAATGAGAAATGCCGAAAAGTTACGTATTTAAAGGTAGAATAGAATAGAATTAATGTTTACTTCGGCTCGAGGTGGTGGTTGCATAGGCCTTCTCGACACCTGATAACAAGGAGTTTGACCGTATTGATGGTCCTGCAGATGAGGACTCGGTGTTTCTTCGGCAATTTTCTGCGGTTGTATTTCGTCGTACGTTAATTCATCGATATCGATGAATTCCGTTTTAACTGAAAAAGTAATGCTATTCATAAGAAGAAAAATCCATTTTTATTAATAAAGGATATGAAACAAAAAAATTAATAAAGGATAGTCATTCGTAGAGCGATAAGATTTCTCGTTAACAGTGTCTTTATTTCATCGTATTAAGTAATTATCTCCATGAAAGACACACTTAAAGAAGCTTGGTACGATGCGATCAGTATATATGAGTGCGCGAACTGCTCTTAAAAATACGGCGAAGGACAATATTAAGCAGAAATATGTAAATGTACCTAATTTCGTCTCGACCATGTCAGGCGTGACAGGCCTGGCCAGATCCTCCAGCATCACTTGCCTCTTCACACGTGGCATCGTACTGGATGTGCGAGCGTCTATAAATCAAAGTATAAAACCCTTCATTAAGAGTCACATTTCGATAGAGTAAGTCGTGTAACGCGGTTGTGCAAGACTGTAACTCGTAGTGGGGGCGGATGAGGAGGAGGGGGGGGGGCTAAACCGCTGGACAAAAATAATTAAACAGGAAATAAAATACCGAAAACATTTGAGTTTCATCGCGAGTGTTTCGTGTGTCTGAGAGCTTTCTCTGCGTAGAACCGAAATTGCGGCCTAATCGTAAATCTCGCATAGGGTAAAAGGAAGAGAGAGAGAGAGAGAGAGAGAGAGAGAGAGAGAGAGAGAGAGAGAGAGAGAGAGAAGAAAAGAGAGAGAGAGAGTGGGGGGGGGGGGGGGGGGGGGGGTAGGAGGGAGAGAGGAGCCGCCATGGCGTTCTGTCGAAGGGCGTGAGCCTCTCGGGTCTCTTGCTCTCTCGTACAGGACTTTCGGGCGCATTCCGAGGGAAGAAAGAAGATCAGGGTTCTTCTGCGGAAGGAATCTTTCGCATAATCGCTCTTTGGCTCCCTCTTGTCCTCTCTCTCGCTCTCCCTCTCTCTCTCTCCCTCCCGCCCTCTCACTCGTTCTCTTATGCACGCGCTCGCACTGTCTTTCTCTTTCACCTCTCCTCCTCGGTTTGCGCGCGCGCATTCTCTCGCTCCTTCCTTCTCTAAAGTTACCGGTTTTCAAAAGGTCTTTTCTTTCTGCCGATGGCGCACACGGGGGGTACACGAAAAAGAGAGAAGCCAAGAGGACGAGAGCTCGTGTGTACTGCATCAAATGTTGAAGAGAGCAAGATGGGCAAAGGGGAATGAAGGAGAGAGGGGGACACGCACAGTGTGCGATGTCGACGTCGTCGACGTCCTCCTCGTCGTCGGCGTTGTCGTCATCGTCGGGCGTTCAAGAAACGGAAGTCGATATCTGTGCAGCGTTTTTTGTTTATCTATGTGGAACGATACTCTGCATGCACAACTCTTACCAAGCTTTTCTGCTCTCCATCGAGGGCGCGCTTTTTTCCGCGTTTTTTTTCTTCGTTCCTTTTTTAAAGGTCTGTCTCGCGCGCGTACAACATTAGCTATTCGCGCAGGCGCACGCATATGTCCCCGGGTGTCCCCGTGAAGACAAAACCGGAAACGCGGCGTCCACGAGGCTCTACGTAGCGCCGGCTCGGAATCATTGGCTGATCGAAGCCGGGCTCCGACCGCATCGCCGTGCCAAGAAAAAATGTACGATAAGCTACATTTTATACTAAACGAGCGACCGTTCGCCCCTCCTCCTCACACACGCACATACATACACACACACATGTATATATATATATATATATATATATATATATATATGTACGTATGTACACGCATGCACGCACGTGTGCGCGCGCATACACAGTCATTCACGCACGCACACCTACACACGAAATTCTAATCTCTGCGATTGCTTTACAAGCGAAGATACTGTCCGCCAGTATCTGGTCCGACTATTTGAATTTCGATCTCCGAGCCAAGCCGTCATATGTCTGCCTTCTGCATTCGTCCTCTCCTTTCTTAATTCGTGATATATATCGTTTCCTTCTGGTTAGGAGCAATTTTCAAATCTATTTTATCTTCTGTTTTTCGTCAAATGCGATTCGAACAGAGTTTTAACCGCGTGGGATGTGACGCGTCGAACTAACGCAAATAGTTACTACCGGAAAAAGTCCCTGTAGTGAATTCAAGATAAATCGCTGGATGGCGGGGCGTGCGCGTTCGCGAATTACGGGAATGTTTTTAAAAAGCCTACTACTAAAGACCCTATCCTCTTCCGTCTCCCTCAGTATGTCGTGGATCTCTTTCCCACTCTATCCTTGAGGCAGGGCAGCGCCAGTGCCAGGGCACACGTGCAGATGCCCCTGCGGTCCGCGGGGGAATCCTCTCACTCAGTCAATCGACAATCGGCGATTGTCGATTGTCGCACCGTAGTGACATCTGCCCCGGCAAAGCAGTTTAAAAAGAAGGTCGCCTCATCAGCTGCTACTGCCTGACCCCCCCCCCCCCCTCAACCGATCGCCACGCTGGCGAAGCATCTTCTTCCCACGGAGCCGTCGGCGCGCGACCCGAAAAATCACCCATTATAGCGCGAGTGGCCGCTAACCCCCCCCCCCCCCCA